ACTGACTGGGCGGTAATTATTTGGGTCCTCTCTTTTCCCCTTTTTGAAAATAGGGACAACATTTGCCCTCCTCCAGTCTGCCGGGACTTCGCCTGTTCTCCAGGAATTCTCAAAGATGACTGCCAGTGGTTCTGAGATCACACCTGCCAGTTCTTTTAATACTCTTGGATGCAGTTCATCTGGCCCTGGAGACTTGAATACATCTAAACTAGCCAAGTATTCTTGTACTATCTCCTTAGTTATTCTGGGCTGTGTTTCCTCTGCTGAATCATTTGCTCCAAATTCTTCAGATTTGCTCCAGATTCTAGTGCAAATTTCACCCTACCCATTCAAAATGGAAGCAAACATGGTCTCTGATTATATTTATTTTAGACATTTCTGACATTTGTAAAGATCTAATCAGTAGGGCGGTTACGGAATTTCAACAGAAACGGGAGCTGAAATTGCCACTTTTTGCTTAATTTTCCCAGATCTGGAATGGAAACCAGTGCAGTGGGTCGGTATTCGCCGTTGTTGCTTTCAGTTCACATATGATAAGCAATTGATGATTTTTTCCTCCATTTGCAGTTACTTTCTTTTGCACTTAAATAAATGGCCTTTGAGTGAATACATGTGACAATGGACCGAGAAGAGTTTGATTTGCCTAACCTCAAAATTATGCTCCCAAGATCACTAAAGCCAATATGATGGGGAAGGGAACTTACATCCCGATCCAGTCATTTGATCAGCCAGAGTTTGAGTTTAACCAAAATCCACCTACCCGATGATTCAGTACAGATATATTAGTACTCAAGAAACATGTAATGTTTCTCACCATGCCTAGGTCGTAAATGAAATGGGTTTATCTAAAAACACCTGCTAAATTGACAATTGATCGGGGAATCTCTTTTTCTTTTTTCTTTTACTCAAATCTAGCATCTTATCCTCTAGGCCACGTTTTACCTCACGGAACCTAACCAACCATGTCTTTAAAACCGTTGATATCAGCCATAATGTCAGACCTGTGGTGTTTACTGTAGCAAACGCTAGTTGAGCATTTTAGCGGCTGACTGATCTACAGCTTGAAATTGGTGTGGAGTATCTGCTGTTTGCCTTACAACAACCCAGTCAGGGGTTTATAAAAAGCATAAATCGTGAATATTATTCCCTAATGGGTGGCTCTGGTGAGCTTCTAATATTAAAAGACAGAATAAGCCTCTCGGCAGAGACGACACAACTATCGATGGAAAGCCCAGGGTCAACTATGAAAAGGAGTTAATGGGCTGATGGGAAAAGACAACTTTCTCTCCCTTCCCTCTACTTATGGGGGGGGGGGAGTCTACAGACTAACCAAAATTAATTCTGTTTTATTTGAGGAACGTGTCAGGCATTAGCCAGCATCCAGAGTTCAATAACTGGTAAGAGCTGGGCCTGACTAGAAACAGTTTAATATAGGAAAAGTCAGAGCTGCTGATAAATAATGCCTAGCTAGTGCCAGCATACAGGTAATAGCAAAGATCATTCCTGCAGAATACAGCACCCAGAGGAAATGGATAAATGAAGAGGAAGTCCAAACCAGAAGGGGAGTGGTACTTGAGGTTTCTGAAGGCAATCCCAGTGAAATTGCTGAATCATTGATACCACAGAGAGCCACGACTGATTCTGCCTGTATCCCCGTATCCTAAACCAATAAACTGTATCCTGATCAATGTAAAGTAATTTAAATACTATGAAAAGACCATGAACTGATTGGCTCTCATTCACTCAGATCCACTAGTGACGGCTCCGTGTGGAACATAAAGCAAGGCAGCTTCTACTTCAGCTGCAATTGCTCCAGAGTGCGAGGAAAACCTAACCAAAGGTGGTATTGGCTGAGTTCCTAACCCTTATGATTTCCAAAATGTCCTTATAAGCCATATTGTTCCGTGTGCTGTGCACATGCCTGGTGCAATTTCAGAAGCTGGGAAAAGGCATTGATTGTTATGGGTGCTGAGAGTGGTTAGGAGATGCCTATTCTCCTCACAAACCTACAATTCCCAGAGTGGTTTAGCAACCAATCCCTCTTCCTAGGGAACTCTGGAAACTGTAGCTCTGTGAAGGGACTGTCAACATGCAGAGGGCCGGGAGGCCAGCTGATAAGCCCCAGCTGTGCTGTCTCCTTCCATCGCCCGTGCTCTGATGTAAATCAGCAACCCAGACTTGAGAAGCTAGGGCATGCTATTAGCAGAGTGCACTGCACACACAGAATAGGTGTGAGGCTTGTAAAGTCATACTATAGCTACAGATTTATTAAACATAAATCAGGACAAAGAAACATGTCATCTCTCTCATGTCATCTCAGAGAGAACAGCTAAAAGCCAAAGCTATGCACAAATGGAAGTTCCCAGCATACTGTGCTGGAATGTAAACAGACATGTGACACACAACAAGTCCACATGGCTGTTCCTTAAGGTGGCATGGAAATATCAACAGGGACTAGGGGTCTCTTACTCACTCTCAGCACCCTTAAACAACTACAGTTCCCAGACGTCTTTAGGGGAAGCCATGACTGTTTATAATGGTATAATAATGTTTTAAATGTGTAGTGCAGATGGGACCTGGTAGGCTTTTGTCCTTGGAACTGGCAAAGGCAGGGGGATCTTGTATATAGGGCAACCACCCTGTCACAGTGTCAACCAGTATGCCTTAAAAAACAGTCTGATATAGAACATATCGCTAGAAAGGAATACACAAAACCTAAAAAGGCAAATTGCATGGAGCCTTTCTCCAATTTGGAAGAAGTGGTCCACCCAAGCTTCTTACACACAAACACACAAGTAACAAAATAGTGCTAGTAGCAGAGGAAATTCAAGAAATGTATTTATCAAAGCACCTTTGAATATCACCTGGAATATGTCGATATGCTTTCAAACAGAAGAGATGCTGTTAACCAGTGAGGGGAACGGGCTGCTTGTCTTACCTGAGAATTCACTACAAAGCTCCAGAGAATGCAGCTTATACTTCCTGAGTACATCTGATTAAGGATGTCCTTGAGAGAGATTGATGGTGCAAGTGATTTTTTTCCCAAGCTTCCAGGAACTTAGCCAAACTAAGGAGTACTCCCATAGGCTGCAGGGTACAACAAAGCAAAGTTAGAGTACAGAATTTCCTTCAAATCTATTTCTTTGAGGGAGAGAGCTGGCTTTCCACTGGGGAAGTCATAAAGCCAGATGATTAGATAGCACTCTCTCTTTTTTCTCCTTCTCCCTTCTCTTCCTGCTGCTTTCCATCACATCTTTCTCTCCCTTTCTTTCCCTCTTTTGCCTCAAAATTCTCCTGCCGAGATTTAACTTCGGGTGTTTATCTTGTGGGGGCAAGGGGGGCAGGAGTTGTTGTCAACTTATTGCAGTAATTCTTTCACAACTTCTGTTTTTCCAAGGGAACACTACCACCTTGCCTTGCAGCAACAGAAGTTCTCTTGCAAGGCCTGTCACTTGTCACAAGGCCTGTCGCAAATGAGTGTCATTGAGTGTTTCCAGGTGCTGTTGCTTTGAGTGTTATTATTTTCACTAGGCAGCTACTGAAGACTTTTTGGTGTGTGTTTAAGAAGGCTTTCCCTGAAATGTGGCTCAGTCGTTTCATGGAATATTAGTTGCACAATTGCATAAATAGTTTCATTGCTTTTTCTTCCCTGAGTCTGTAAACTTTTGTTATTTTATCTTATTGTACACCACTTCAGCAGTCTTTGATTGTGAATTTATTTATTTATTACATTTAGATACACCCTTTATCTTCCAATGAGCTCAAGGTGCTGCGTGTGGTTCTCTTCCTCCCCATTTCACCCTCACAAACAACTCTGTGAAGTAGGTTAGCCTAAACGATGGTGACTGGCCCAAGGTCACCCAGTGAGCTTCATGGCTGAGTGGAGATTCAAACCCTGCTCTCCCAGGTCCTAGTCAAACACTCTAACCATTATGCCACACGGGTTTAGAGTTCTACACAAAATAGGTAAATATCCATCCATCAGCAAGTAACATTTCAGCCCTGCCATTTTAGCCCAGCATTCTTTCCGCTACAGTGTTCATTCAGTTTCTAATTATTAAAACAAATTTATGGCTCACTCTTCACTCATAAGAGAACAGGGCAGGATGCAATATGCCAAAGAAGCCAGCCACACAATAAATCAAAGGCTGTGTGGGACAACAACTCCCATTATCCCTAAAAGAAAAGCCAAAGGTTTTTGGGGGGTTTTTTAGAGGGGGAGAATTACCAGTTTGAACATCTTATTTTCCCATTTCATTTTGTTTAGGGAAGCTTTTAATATTCGATTAATGATTGTATTTTAATCTTTTGTTGGAAGCTGCCCAGAGTGGCTGGGGAAACCCAGCCAGATGGGTGGGTTATAAATAAATTATTATTATTATTATTATTATTATTATTATTATTATTACTATTTCCCAGGAACTTGGCTTTTTCGCATGCCCACCACTGGGTAAGGTTGCCATATGTCAAGAAGTAAAAATCTGAACACACACAAAAATGTTGAGCTTGTTCCCCTGGAAATCGCCCACTTCCTGGTTCTGTTTGCAAAAACCTGGACATTTTGCCGATTTTAAAAAATCCCCCCGGGTGGTAATTTTGCTATTGGAATCCCAATAGCATGTCTGGGGGGGAATGAACATATGGCAACCTTACCACTGGGGGAGAGTTTCAAGGCCAAGACAGAGAAGCCTGGAAGTTCCACAACCCTGGCGTGAAGGCTCCAATCTTCCTCTGCTAGTGCTTTCCAGGATTAAGGTCCTGTTATTCAAAACTGATTCTTTCTAGAATGCTTCAGGTAGAAGCAGTTCCTGATGTGCCCAGTACTTAAAATGAGAAATGACTGAAATAATGAACTTTGTATGATCAACCATTTCTAAGTCTACTAAAGTACCAGACTGTAATAGCAGGAACGATTTTATGTATTTGTCCTGCCTGCTTAGCCATGGGCCATTGTCAACCTGTATTTCAACAGTTTATGATAACAATGCTTTCTTTTTTTCGGGGGGGGGGCATGCCATCCCCCACAGTCACTAAAGCAGTAATTGCCCTGATTTCCTGCAATTCCACCCATGTAAATCAATGTGAATCAGGCGAAGATGCACAATGCCCATCATTTCTGGAAATTGCAAAAATGTAAAATCAATCAAAATGGAAGATGCCTTCAAAGAATGCCCAAACTTGTGTGTGTGCCAAACAAAGGTTCTGTAAAGCATTACACATTGATTGATCAGCAACCGTTGTTGGACTATCGAGCAATGGAATGAGGATAGAGAAAGAGAGACACCATTCTGTGGACTTCTCATATTTGTTTCCTTTCCTATCCCTGTGGCTTTTATCAAAATATCTCCATAGGTACTTTGAATCACAAAGCTGCATGTGAAATCTCGCTGGAATTTGCTGTTTGCTGTGGCAACTGTGTCTCAGGATGGGTCCGAGTTAGCAACTGTTGCTCCATTCAGGTTTGGGCAGAATCTCGCCAGTATAAGGATTAACTGCTTCTTTGAGTTTGCACATGGCTAGGGATAGGTGGGAGATTTGATTCAGTTTGCATTCAAAGGTGAGCCTACCTCATTCATATTTTCCAAAATGTGAATGGTAACAAAGCCATCCTGTGAGAACAGCACCAGCATTTGAAACTTCAGGAAGCTAGAGAAGAATTCTTACCACCATTGCCTTCCCCATCAATTTTGATTTTGCTGCTCTTAGCCTTCTCTGGAGAAAAGATGAAGGTCATCTAGGTCATCTGAAGGGCATCTAGTCTGGGGAGAAGACCTCTCCCCTCTGAACTATATTTAGGCCAAGCTGCTGAGGCTACTTGGAGTGCAATAAGACCTGCAACCAGCAGCTGCAACTACATTGTCCCTTCCCCTCAGTACTGTTGTTGTTGTTGTTGTTGTTGTTGTTGTTGTTGTTGTTGTATTTACTTAATGTATTTATATATCACATTTCCCCCCAAGTTGGGATTCAAATCGGCTTACAGCATTTCAGTATTGAATTAATTGTTTGTTTGTTAAGGAATTTACACTTCTCTGAATTTCGAAATGCAGCTTGCTAACCAAGTAATGTGCAAAAATATTGCATATGCTAGAGTAAATTGTGCATATAAATAAATAATATGCATTGTGCATATAAATGTTAGTAAAAAAACCAACAACGTACAAAATACATTACTTTAGGGGAAACTGCTTGGGGAAAGTGTGTGTATTAAACAGAATTGCATACAAATATGTGTATATTGGGAGAAATTCACAGTAGAACGCTGTTGCATTTTCATAAGGACAACACACACACACACACACACACACACCTATACACACATATACATACATCAGAAAATGATGTGCAAATGTAGCGTACTGAACCTAAGATTGGATAAATGAGCAACTCAGAGAAACCAAAATTGACAGATTCACCCAACCCTAATTATGCTCAACGCAGAGCCTTGGGCTACAAGGATGAACTGCTTTGATGAGCTCATGCATCACTCAGGGGGACTCTGCCAAAGCACCTTTATTTAAGGCTATAGGAAATGGCAATCCAGGATGGCAGTTGGAGCTGTGGGGAGGGGAGCTCCTTTGACTCTCGGTATTGCTGAGAAAATATGAAATGACGTATTTTGAAACCAGAACTGAACAGACTGGCTTAAAGATAGCCCAACACCTTCCTTCTGAAGATATGCATATCTAAAAGTAGCTCCACATACTGCGCAGTGATGAACAATCAGTATGTGAAATACTTTACAGTTCTCCTGATAATTAGAGTGAGATATCGTGACCTCCCTAGAGGGTCCATGTGATTAAGGATGGATTTGGGCTTAACTCTCTCACTCCTAAGCTCAACATTCTGTGATTATCCTTATGTTCATCATGAGGCCCACAAACAGCTCTCCATAATGTCTTCTCCTGTGGTTAGGGTGGGTCTTGTGTGAATATACTGTGCTAGTGACACATATCCTAATGGAGTGAGTGGGTGCTGCTGCTGAAGTGTTAGGGTCTGGGGCACCAACTCCAGGGTGCCCTGGGGGCCTGGACACCCACAAAAAAAATCTGTGGGTACCCAGCCTCCGCCCACCTGCTGCCACCGCCGGCCTCTGCCTTGCCTCTGGTGCTTCAGCACCCTGGCAGTGACTGGGCCAGGGCCTGCACCTCTGCCGCAGGGCCTCTGTTGGGGCCTGCTGCAAGCCCCAACTATTTATCCTTACCTGGTTAGGGCAAAGCAATCACCCTCTCCCATTACCCCCCCCCCCCATGACAAGCTTATGAGTATGTTTGGCCTTTGTTTGCTGAGAAACTGTTCAATTATACAATCAATGAGGGACATGATGGAGCAGGGAAAACAAGGATGGGAGGGATTGATTACAGTCTCCATTGGGAACATTGTCACATTCAGATATGATTATTTTCTTGCTTAAATATCACTTCCATGTAGGACATTGCATATGCACCGAAGATGATTTGGAAGCTTTAATTAGACCTAAATGCAGCAGCCAAAATGGTGCATAATACCTGTACTAAATCAACTCTACTTTGGCAACTGGTGGGTTTCCACTCAAGTTCATTTCAAGGTTCTGGCTTTGATTTTTAATTAAGACCTACACAGCTTGGGTCCAATTTTATGCAAAGTGATTCCTCCTCTCACATAGTCCCTTTTGTGAATTGAGAAGGTCCAAGCAGGATCTTTCATGAGTGCCCTTCCATCTGAAAAGCAAGGGATAGCTAATTAGCCAGGAGCAGCTTTCCCCAACTGATGCCCTCCAGAAATCTTGGACTACAGCCATCCACCCCATGCTACTGTTAGGATTCTTGCTCTGTGCTTGCAGTTATGGGATTGTTGTCTATCACATGAAGGTGTATGTTTTCATTCCACAGTGTGGGAAGTGACGGAGACAGGATGTTTTGTATTACTGTGTTCCGGAACGTAGGACTATTGTCCTTTGTTTCTTTCTCTTTGCTGTCCGATGAGAAAGAGGAAGCAGCTAAGTCAGAATGCTCCAAGTGTATTATATGTACATAAACGTAGATTAGCCAAAATGCTGTGCTACTGAGTTTGTTACGCAAACTGCAAATACTCTGCAGGATCCCTAAGAGTGCTAATGCCTTTTGGTATCAGTCGCTGTGATGTTCGGGCTGGACAAAGCTTTTGAAGTTCCCGAACGACCGACCAGGAGGGAGAGAACATGCCAGTCAGGCATGTGTCTCTGCCAGGGTCTTACACGCGAGTAGGACGATCCTAATAGCTGCATGGGGTAGATGGGAGTTGTAGTCCAAAATATCTGAAGGGAGCCAGGTGGGGGAAGACTGATCTAGTAATGCCAGACTTCTACTGAAACTCACTGTCCAGAGGGACTCACTTGATCGTGCTATTAAACATTAGGAAGAAAGTAATAAATTCTCTATCACAAAAAGCTTTTTTACTGAGTCGGTTTTAAACCAAAAGGACTACAATTTCAACTCCTGTCATGTTTACTTTTGGAGAGTTAAAAGTGGGCTTTGTTGTTTTTTATTGAGTGCGTTGCTGCTGTTTTTTGTTTTATTTTATTGTGAACCACTTAGAGAACGTCAGTTATAAAGCAGTGTAAAATAAGTAAGAATAAATAAGCTTCCGTTCAGCTTCTTTTGCAATCTCACCCTCAGTTATAGTTCCACAATTTTGTTCTCCAGAGGTCCAACCACTAGCTTAGCCGATTTCCTGCTTTTGAATATCGGAAGACTTTTCAAAATGTTGTTAATGGGTTTCAAAAAAATGCTACTCAAGTTCTTCTTTTGCTTGCCTCCTTGTCAATTTACATTTATTTTGCCATAGGTTATACTCCTGTTTATTTTCTTTCTTTGGGCAAGACATCTGCTTTTTCTTTAAGGATGCCTCCTTGCCTTTTACAGCTTCTTTAACACTGCTTGTTAACCATCCCCTTGGGACTGCCATACCTTTTCTAATCTGTGGCCTACGTTTTATCTGCACTTCTATTACAATGGTTTTAAATTACCTATTTTAATTCCAGGGGATTAAAATAGAAAGCTGCACTTTGAAAGAGCCCAGTAGGACGCTGAATGTGCCAAGAGCTCACCACATTTCTCCATTTAATAATTACTGGATCCATTTCACAGGGCGATCGATAGATTGCTGTGGATTTTCATCAGGGTCCATGAATATTGTTGGGATGCTGAGATTAATTCCAAGGGGAAAGCGCTTGCGAAACACTCAGTAGCATAGAAATGCTATTAGTGTCTGCAGCCTTTATTGATCAGCTGCTTCCAGACAATCCTTTTCTAATAATCGGTTTACTAAAATGGAACGTACGCCTCTTTTGGAGGTATACGAGTGCCCTAAGGGAAAAGAAGCAACATGGTAATAATATGTAAAGTTGTGTAGAGCTTTCGTTAAATAAGTTGACATACATATGAGTGAACAACTTGGGAGCCTGTGGTGCAATGGGTCAGTGCGTCTGGCTGTTAACCCAAAGGTTGGTGGTTCAAGACCGCCCAGTAACAGCTGTGGGCACAATTCCTTCATTGCAGGGGGTTGGACTAGATTACCCTTGGGATCCCTCCCAATTCTACAATTCTATGATACTGCTTTAGGATTAATTTCCACCCTGTGTTGAACATCAAGGCTGCATTCACATTGCAGTTCATTCCATTCTTTTCCTCAGCTGTTAAATTCCACATTCTATTTGAATTTTCACGTGATATTATAGGCCATTCCTGGAACTATAGTGGAATACAGGGCAGGTTTAGTTCTTGTTCCTGTGTTATTTGCTTCCAGAAATAATCTGTCTGCAAATAATATGAAAATGAGAGCTAAATGTGTTCTCTATTCCACAATAATCCCAGAAGTGACTCTTACACCATGTGGAAGCTCAGATATAATGTGGAACTTTTCTGGGAACTGCCCTGAGACCTCCGGGTATAGAGCAGTATATAAAGTCAATAAACAACAACAACAACAACAATTAATAATAATTTATTATTTATACCCCGCCCACTTGGCGGGGTTTCCCCAGCCACTCTGGGCGGCTTCCAACAGAATATTAAAATACAATAACCTATTAAGATGACCCGGGAAATTACAGGAATATCAGTTTATTGTCATCAATTGGGAAAATATATGCACGGTTCTTGTTAACTAAGCTTACTAAGTGGGCCGAAGAGAACAACCTGATTGGGCCTGAACAGGCTGGTTTTAGACCGAATCAGTCAGCGGTTGATCAGGTCTTAATTTTATACCACCTTGCCCGGAAATACTCCTCCCCAAATAGAGGCCAACTTTGTGCGGCCTTTATTGATTTAAAGGCCGCATTTGACAGCATCCCCAGAGGATTGCTTTGGGGAAAATTAGCCCGATGGGGAATAGACAAAAGACTTTTGTGGCTAATAACTAAATTGCATGACGGATCGGCCACTAGGGTGAGAATCACTCCGGCAGGCGACCTCTCAAACTCAGTAGTTATCAATAGAGGTGTTCGCCAAGGATGTATCCTTGCTCCGACCCTTTTTAATCTATTTATAAGTGATATGAGGGCGCCTCTGATAGAGGCTCAAGAAACGATCCACGCCCCCCGTCTTGCCCAATATTGTTGCCCCCTTCTACTCTACGCAGACGACGCAGTGATCCTATCCTTTTCAAGAGTCGGCCTTAGGAGGGCATTAAAAATCTTTGATGTTTACTGCAAATCAAATTTTCTTACAATTAACCATGTTAAGTCCAAAGTCCTAATTTTCACCAAGAGTCGAAAAACCTATAATTGGAGAATAGACGGAAAAGCTATTGACCAAGTCTTTAAATTTCAGTACTTGGGAGTCTTTCTCCAACACAACATGGGCTGGAAGGTCCATGTTGCATATGTATTAAACAGAGCTAAAGCCCTTTCCTATGCGCTATTGCGTTTTTTTCTTTTCAGATGGGGCTTTCCATATTCCATCAGTGTTAAAAGTTTTCAAGGCAAAGGTGATTGCAACAATAGCATATGCAGTCCCATTATGGGGGTCCTTTGCTAATCTAACCCATTTGGAGGTAATCCAAAACCAGCTTTTAAGAAGGTTGTTAAAATTACCCAGGTGTGTAAGCAATACTGCTATACGACTGGAACTAAATGTTACATCTCTAGAAACCACATTATGGAAATGCATCCTCTGTTATTGGTTGGCTTTATGGCATAAACTTCCAAATCTCCACTTGATACAGTGCCTCTGGAGAGATGACTTCCCTAGCCCCTGGGCAAAAATAATACATGGGAAACTTGTGTCCCTAGGACTATCTCCATTTGAACTATTAAAATTGGATTTAATTTCGGCCAAAAGAATTATAACTCACAAATTAGAGGAGATGGATTTACAATTTAATATTGCGACAGGTGGTGGCACCTGTTCGCCGATAAACCTTGGCTTAACACCACCAACGAAACTTCCATCTTACTTAACTACCTTATCTGTGGTGACGCACAGGTATGCCTTTATAATGGCTAGATTCAATGCTTTCCCATCAAACGTGTTGGGTAACAGACTCTCCAACGGACAGATCTCACTCCTCTGTGACTTTAAAAGTGGATCTATAGAATCGTTATATCATATAATCTTCTGTTGTCCATTACATTCGGCTTCACGGTCCAAGTTTCTGGCCCCATATTTATCGAGAATTGCTGACAGTCCTCAGGAAGCCCAAATAATATACTTATTAAACGACGAAGATACAAGTAGATCCCTTGCAGTCGCTAGATACCTGATTAATGTTTTATTTCAAAAGAGGAGAAATGGATCACTGTATGTTTCTGACAGCTTAGCTAAACTTAAGAACCATCAATAAGTGCCAGAACTAAGACGTATACCCCCCAAAATCTGATGGATCGGAATTGCGGTTTACATAGAGGGAGCTTATTGTGTATAGTGTTTACTAAACTAAAGTAAAATCGGTTTTATAAGGGTGTTTTAACTTGGAACTGTTTAAATTGTATTGTTTATGGATAAATTCTGATGTATTGTTTTCGATATGGGCCAATGGCCGCAATAAATAAATCTAATCTAATCTAATCTAACCTATTAAACATTAAAAGCTTCCCTAAACAACAACAACAACTTAACAGTTGGGGGAAGTTATGGGAATGGAATGAACTTTTGTGTGCATGCAACTAAGTTAATTCTAGAAAGAACCCATTGACACAATCGACTCAATAGAAAGGCAGGGTGGCCTGTTTTTAAAACAATCCGCCAATCTGTCCAATCTTTTCCTGAAGAAAATCCCACAAGTTCCTCAGGTAGCTGCTTGCCTCTCAAGAAGATCGTTGCATCCCAGAACCGTCTCCTGCCATTAAACACTACCCAGAATCAGCCCAGCTCTCTCCTTTATACAACTTCAGAATATAACATTCCAGTACTGTAATGGAGTCCTGGCCATGTGCCTTTAATTGTCCCCGCTGCATGTCATATGCTGCAAAATATGAATTTCCGAACTGATCTTTGGACCTCTTTACGTTGTTGATACTATCAAAAACAAAACAAAAACCCCAAATGAATCTAAATGAATATGTCACAATAAATAAAGGCTCTCACCGGCTGCTATTAATATTTAAAAGCGGTGTGTGAGGTTTTATTAACTTGCATAAGGACTCTTTTTAAAACTTCATTTGCATAAATTAAATATTCCCTTGCTGTTTTAGATATGTTTCCTTTCCCTGCTTCAGTGGTCTGATTAAAGATCTGGAGGGGGCTTGGGGGAGGGGCATGGGGAAATAGACGCAGATGAATTGTAATAGACTTTCAAGATATATAGCATCTTGTTAAAAATTCATGCAGGCCAGAATACGAGAAGGTCAGAAAATGTCTTTGAAATCCTGCCAAGGCTCTTTTTGATAATTCATGCAGGTTTTAAAAGGGAAATTCCTCATTAGATAGGACCTAATGCTTATTAATTTATACTCCTAAGGCAGAAACTGAATATTAAGTGGTCGGCTCTGTTAATCCATTTATTAAATATCAAAGACAATATGTTTTCACCTGGTATCCTTGCTTATTGATTAATGGCTTTAGACCAATATGGGTTGTTGTTGTTTCATATATACAAAAAATTGGAAGTTATTTCGAAGGTAAGTCCCCGACCTCAGCTGGCCCTTGCACTGCCCTCCTGTGAAGAAATGAATCACATCTTTCTGGGCAAGGAAAGAAACTCACAAGTTTGGGCAGATGGACAACAGCCTCAGGTTTGTGTGTGCGGCAAGTCAGTCGTGGAACTGGAATGGCACTGGTAGCTCAAAAGAGCTTAATATGAGTCTGGATGGATGACACCGGCATATTCTGCTTCCAAGGGCAACCGGTCGGGTGTCTCTGGGAAATCTTCAAACACAGGATTGTCCTCTGTTGCCTCCCAGTGACTGGTATTCAGAGGCCATGCACCGCTGGGGTACAAAAATCCACCCAGCGCCCCCAAATTAACTTTTATTGTGCTTATGTCAGACACCACGCTTACGCCTTATCTCTTGCTTACGAAAGAAGGGAGGAAAAAGAAACAAACTTTTTTATTTGCTCATTTATTTACAATACACTACTTTACAATACAATACTTAAGTATACAACACCACCACACTTAAACTTATAAGTATTGTTTAGGCACCTACCTAGGAGAAACATCAGTCGTGCCAAAGTCGAAAGTCCTTTAGTGAAACAGTAGGTATCCATTTCGGTAATACCTAGTGTGGTGTTTGCCCCCCTAGGTGGGTCATAAGGAAAGGGTTAAATGAGTGTGAAGTGATTGGCCAGTGGGAACCCAAGGGGAGGAGTTAGAGTTAGAGTTGGAGTTTTTTGGAAGTCAGTTGGGAGTTGGAGAAGGAAGAGGGAGGATAAATCTGTGGGTTGGTCTAGTTTTGATATGAGAGAGTGAGAGAAGCTGTTAGGAGGAGTCAGATAGACAGTTGGGATAATCAGTTAGAAGTTATTAGGAAGGTATAGGCCAGTAAAGAAACTAAGATTAAGAAACTGACAAGAAAAATTATCTGAAACCATAAACTTGTTAAGGCTTATAAAATAAACTTGGTTATTTGATTTAATGTTAACAACTGTCTGGACTCTGTGTGTACCTGAGAGAAATGGGTTGGTGGCAGCGGGGAAGCGATCACAGTGGTGGCACAGGGATCAATAGACCGTCAAACGTCCGGGGACCCTGTGTGATAGCCACACCTAGGTATATATGTATTTTGTTTTTCTAGCTTGATCAAAATTATTGATTATTTCATAACAGGTAGATACAGTGGTGCCCTGCAAGACGAATGCCTCGCAACACGAAAAACTCGCTAGACGAAAGAGTTTTCCGTTTTTTGAGTCGTTCCGCAAGACGAATTTCCCTATGGGCTTGCTTCGCAAGACAAAACGTCTTGCGAGTTCTTGCGAGTTTGTTTTCTTTTTCTTAAAGCCGCTAAGCCGCTAAGCCGTTAATAGCCGCTAAGCCGCTAATAGCCGCTAAGCCGCTAATAGCCGTGCTTCGCAAGAAGAAAAAACGGCAAGAC